TTAATTTATTCGTCTTTGTAAAATTAATATTTAGAAATTTAAAAATTATGCGACCTTAAAACTTTTTTAAGTCCGTTTTTTCAAAACAGCNCTTTTTGACATAGCAAATTCTAGTAGTTTAAAGCCTGACCATACAGAGTACGAGTTTGCTGTGCGGCGTCCGGCGTGCTTTTCCGTACAGAATGCCTCAAGTATTTTGATATATCCACTCATATTAAATTAAATGTCTGATGGACCTGGGCCAGTAACCAGTTCCTAGTCGATTCATTAAACTCTACTTTCAAATTTAACCCAATTGTTCGTTCGAGAAATCCGTGCATGTTTCGTCGGATCCTTTGAGAACGACAAAAGAGGCACGCCGCGTTCCCGTCACACAGACCGGACCACGCTCATAACACAATTTACAATCTATTTTGTATTATGTACAATTCAGTACATCATGATATTATACAATTTGAAAATATATAACAAAAAAATATACAATTCAATTCTATACAATACAATAATAATAATAATAGTGGTAATAATTGAAGATTCAATGTCAAGGGTAAATTTCTTGCAGTCGTTGAGTTTGTGCAAACTTATGTATTTGAAAAGTTCAGGTTTTTTTTTTAGAAATTTATATAAAAATAAGGTTGACAAGAAGGAGCTGCTGATCCAAAAGATCAAAGCCTTACTGAAATCCAGGCAGACAACACGTGTCAATTTACCTTGGTCTAAAGATTCAAGTCAATTATCAGTAATCCGAATTGGTGCTGTAGAACAAGAATAGTTCTGTCCAAAACCCGACTGGTTAATATAAAATAAATTGAAATTATTAAAAAAGGTCTTAATATTAATGGAGATATTATGTTTTTCAAAAATTTTAGAGATGGTGGGTAAAATAGAAATTGGTCTATAATTGGAAATGTTTTCTTTGGAACCTTTTTATAACTTGGCACTATTTTAGCTTCTTTCAGTTCGGGAATGATACATTTGGTTAAACACAAATTTATGATATGAGTAAGTAAACTTGAAATCACCTCAGCTGACATTTTTAAAATTTTTGGGCCAAGATTGTCTAAACTAAACAAGATTGTTTAACTACTTTGAATATTCTTAACTGAGA